TTCCCCTCAATGTAGCTATTTTACGACGTTGAAATGACGTGAGCCGCTGTGTTTTCCTGCAATCATCACGCTTATTTGCTGCCTCCAGTAGATGGGCTTGTAGCCATAGACAGTAACCAGCGTATTCAGTGTTGCCATTGTCCGCGCTACTTTTACTGTGTTGCTACGGGTTGTTGTTTTTTTAGTCCTGGTAGTATGGCAAGCCGTTTTAACTTTTATTCATTTCCAGGATATGAATTGTTGATATCAACAATTACATTTTTGATATCAACAATTACATTTTTTGATATCAACAATTACATTTTTGATATCAACAATTCAATTGTTGATATCAACAATTGAATTCTTGATATCAACAATTGAATTATTGATATCAAAAATGTAATTCTTGATATCAACAATTGTATTTTCACTAGTGAAATGTCACCATAGACTGCCATTCAAAATCAATTGTTGATATCAAGAATTGATTTCTTACTAGTAGAAATATAATTTTTGATATCAATAATTACATTGTTACTAGTAAAAATGCGAATTCCTGATATCAATAATTAAATTATCACTAGTCTAAATGTCTATTCTTGATATCAACAACTGAATTGCTACTAGTAAAAATTTTCATTTTTGATATCTGAAAATGTATTTCTGATATCAATATTATTTCAGATATCTAAAATGGCTTTCTTACTAGTAACAATCACATTCATGATATCAGAAATTAACATTGTCACTAGTGAAAATTGAATTATTGATATCAAAAATGAACATTGTTACTAGTAGCAATTCAATTGTTGATATCAAGAATAGACATTTCAACTAGTGACAATTTAATTCTTGATATCAAAAATAAAGGTTTTTACTAGTAAGAATTGTATTTCTGATATGTGAAATTGGAATTTCAACTAGTAAGAAATCAATTCTTGATATCAAGAATTGATTTTGAATGGCAGCCTATGGTGACATTTCACTAGTGAAAATACAATTACAGATATCAAGAATTATAGTTTTTACTAGTTGCAATTCAATTGTTGATATCAAGAATTATCATTTTAACTAGTGAAAATGTAAATGTTGATGTCAAGAATTAGCATTGTTACTAGTGAAAATGTAATTCCTGATATCAAAAATTGCCATTGTTACTAGTAGAAATATTATTCCTGATATCAATAATTATAATTTTAACTAGTGAAAATTGAATTGTTGATATCAAGTATTCATATCCTGGAAATGAATAAAAGTTAAAACGGCTTGCCATACTGGTAGTGTGTTTGGTGACATCGAGAGCCAAACTTGGCAAGCGCAGATACTTGCACAAACTTTTATCGTGCTTTCCCAGGGGAGACAACGGGATAATTAGTGCATGGCCGAAGAAATGGAAAAGATGTGAGGTAAAAAGACAGAAAGACTAACATAGACAAAATAAATGAGTGAAAACATCGGTACGGAACGGAACACAGGTGGAATGATCTGATGACAGAGAAAATCCCGAGTAGTGAACAAGTTGCTTCTTTTTTTTTTTTCGTGGATGGGTAAGGAAATTAAATACTGCGTAGACACTATCAGTGTAATTTACAAATCTCAAGAACGAATTACACGAAGAACTAGACAAGAAGCCAAATGCACATTTAAAATAATGCAAGCATGTTCAATAGGCCTATATTATTTTGTGTAATAAAAAACAACAACAGAAATACACTCTAAACAAAAATGGTGCTAAATAGCACTAAAAGTGGTTCATTGGCTTGTAATCATAGGGGAACCACTTTAAGTGCCATATAGCACTTATCTTTGTCAAATGGTGCTATGTAGAACCTTGAGAGGTGCCATAGAGCACCTTAACCACCCCAGAGAACCGCTGAAGAACCAAATTGGGCTTAACAGGTTCTTTAAATGGTAGTGGTGCTATATAGCACCATGACCACCGCAAAGAACCCCTGAAGAACCATTTTTTTTAGAGTGTACAATATCATTGTCATTGATTGAGCTACGTAAGATCATACAAAGTTTTAATGTAGCCTAGATGATAAAATCTTAAAACTATGATTTGATGACAGAGAAAATCCCGAGTAGTTAACAAGTTGCTTCTTCTTTTTTTTTTTCGTGGATGGGTAAGGATACTGCGTAGACTATCAGTGTAATTTACAAATCTCAAGAACGAATTACACGAAGAACTAGACAAGAAGCCAAATGCACATTTAAAATAATGCAAGCATGTTCAATAGGCCTATATTATTTTGTGTAATAAAAAACAACAACAGGAATACAATATCATTGTCATGATTGAGCTACGTAAGATCATACAAAGTTTTAATATAGCCTAGATGATAAAATCTTAAAACGATTTAAATCATTAAAAATGTTTCAAAAATGACAATTGGACAAAAAGAGAATATAGTGCTTGAAATTTTTTGACCATTTTTATTTTCATTTCTTGCCCCCTATTTTATTGAAAAGGAGCAGTGAAACAAAGGAAACACCATGAAACTAGTCGGAAAACACCAGTACATACCAAATGTAATAATGAAACCCTGTGATGGGCAAATTTCAAAACACACTTCCTTGTGTATAGCAGCACTCAGCACTGGTCAACCAAATTTTGGCATAAACAAATTGATGCTTAAAACATTTACATTTCACCATTATTAAATAGAAATTAAAGGAAACAAGTGCATTTCTGATTACATCGTAGGTACAAATGTCTTTTTAGTCCCAAAAAACTGTTCAGATGGCAAGTTTAAGAGCTTTTGATAATATTTCAAAAAGGATCATAGTGCAGATATTAGTTGCAAAGGGTTTGCTAGTTTGCTAGTGGGAAACTTTGTCACCGTGCCATTTTCTTTTTGTGTTGTTTTCACTGACAGATTTGTTTTTGAATGTCAGGGGTCAGAGACCTTCTTATGGCAACGTCTGCAACTCTCGTCTAAGCAAACCATTTTACTCTGGGTAAATCAGTGTTCTATCAACAGAGTTAAACTTCAACCTCATTCAGTGAACCTTCTCAAAGAGGCCATGTGATGATCTAAGTTGTATTTGAACTCTAGACGATCTTCCATGACTCACTGATATCAGCCAGTTTTCTTTGTCTCTGTGCGCGTTGCTCATTTCTCATGTTTGTGTACTAGATCTAGTATGCATATGCATTGAGTCTAAATATTGATATGCCCTAGATATTTATAGATGTGAATCCTGAGTCTGTGATTCACCCTGAGTCTGACCTATTTACATTATCAGACCATAACATAAATTTTAAACCATAATTCTCCATTATTATTTTATTAATGGTGGCTGCAGCTGAGCATGCAAGATATGACTATTGCTGTTTATGGTTTTGTTTGGTGAGATGATCCTGTTTAAAAATGTACAATGGCTATAATAAGATCACGGCAAATCATTTAGAAACGGGGCTGACATGTTTCTAGCTGCTAAATAGCTTTTACCCAAAGCAGACTTGTTAAATGAGTTTTGTGTCATGTTTCATGTGATTTGACCTCAGATCAGGAGTGTGAAAATCCTTTGGTGAGAACACAGATCTGGTCCAGCCTTTTCTTTTCAAATAGTGAAGAATATAACTTCAAATGGAACTGAATCTAGATGATTATGTTTCAGTTTAAGCGCACTTTTCAGGCCTGGTTAAACGGTGTGAACTGGGAGGATGTTTCAGTTCTTTAACAAATGGGAAAGTGAAACATGCAGACCAAGGAAATCAAATGTCAGCCACTTTTCAGTTTTCTTATAAAGCGTGAGAAAGCCCCCCCCCCCCCACCCCGCCCCCCAATGATTTTTTAATACTTTTTTATTAGTTTATACTTTAAAAGCATAAGAAATAAAAGCATACATTATTGGAAGTTACTTTTTAATAAATGTTTTATGACTTTATACTATGATTTAAAAACATAGGGTTAGGGTTAATTAGCCTATATAAAAGAGTAAATTAATAGAAGTTAGTGCAACAATATGTTTAATACACTATTGAATTACTTTACACTTTGCGATTTAAAAAATTTATTACTTATTTTATTCACAATCTTTGTTTTTTCTTCGTTTTTCACATTTTTATTTTATTCACATTCTCTGTTTTACATTATTATTTTTTGTTTTTGTGAGTTTTATTCATGTTCTTTGCAGATCATGTAAAAATAAACAAAACAGCAAAACTTCATAAGAGTAAAAATACATAAATAAAATAAAAATATGCATAAGAGCTTAGTGAGTCGTCGTCAACCATACCCAGCCAAATTTTAAAGCTGGTTGTCTGTACCAAAAAAATAAAAAATAAAATAATGGGTAACACTTTATTTTGGTGCTCCCCAACAGACATTATACTGACTATAAGTAACTTTGCAACTATGTCAACTTAATCCAACTCTAACCCTTCCAGTCTCTACTAATACTCTACTAACAATCTAATAAGAGTTAGTAGACATGTAAGTGCAACGTTAGTCAACAGCATGTGTAAAAGGGACCATAAAAATAAAGTGTAACAAAATAATATGCATTCGCTGTGCTTGTATTACCACTAACCACTGCATTAAAGATTATATTCACAGATATGCATACACAAACACACGTGCATGTGTTCACATGTTGATATGCAAACCTGTAGCTCAGTATTGAGAAGCAACTGTTCTTGTAGTTTAGAAAAAGTGTTCATCAAAAACAGTAATAACTTAATGAGCTATTACTAACAAAAATTTCCTTTGTAAATACCAAGAAAGAAATATGTTAACTCTGGTACTCCCCCGATGTAATGTTTGCACTGGTATTTCCATCTAAATTTGGAATCATTAACATGTATAGATTCATGTTCTATGTTTACATGCTTATCAACAGTTTTCACACTTAATGCTATACGTTTCAGAGAGAGAGAGAGAGCGAGAGAAACCATGCTGCTATCTTAGAGTGGGGGAAATATCTGCCATCACGGAAGACTGACTGAAGCAAAACAGAGAGGGGAAGTTCACAGAATAAATACATAGAGAGTCAGTCAACCACTCAACCTCACTCACATGAGAGAGAGAGAGAGAGAGAGAGACGTGCGGACGGAACTGAAGAGTAACTGAACATTGAGCTGGCTCTGTTAGAACGGTTATTGGGTTATTAGAAACATTTTGCGCGTGTGCTTGTATGGAACTGGCCTGGAATGTGTTGTTGGATATGATTCTCAACTGACATAGACATGGATTGGATCTCATGGATTTCTTTTCTGGTCACATTGATGCACTTCCCGGTTTACATAGCAAGTAAGTGAGTTTTGATTGATTAGGGTTTTTTTTGGGCTCACTCTTCATTTTGCAAGGTGACAATAATAACAATATACTGTACTGTTACATATTAGAAAATACTTTTAATTCATTTGTTATATTAAATTATATTTGTCATTTTAAATGAAATATGTCCACAATACTGAAATAAAAAATACAAGAATGCGAAAGAAATATAAAGTGCAAGTGGGCGCTTGACTTGAACTGTTGCCCCAGTTTCTGTCACAGCGATGACGTTTTGGGCGTCCCCCTGTGACCACTGGTGCAAATGAATATATAGCTACGACTACATGTTTTTATTTATTTATTTAAATATTCATCAGTTTTTTAAAGGTATGTTTTTGTCAAACCAACATAGAAAATACAAGAAAACACAGATAGAGAAAGCACAAATTTGTGTAATTGGATTTTCTTTTTTTACCCAACCCCCAACCACCCAGGCATCGCTATTACATTGTATTGTATGGCATTGTGTAAGTTATTTTTGAAACATTTTGAGTAGAGGTTTGCTTGATGAAGTAGACATCATTAGCAAATTGACTTAATAAAAAAAAATAAAAAAACATGCTATGCCACCATCTGGAAAGAACAGCTGATGGACAATACAAACAGTACATCAAGTGTGAGAATGCTGCTTTAACTGGAACAAGAGCAAATAAACCACTTCTTTATTGGGAAGGGAAGAGTCTGGGAAAGTCTGAAGATAATTCTGACAATATTTCTATTTTGTTTACAGGTAAAGTGCTAGACTTTGACATATGGGAGGGAAATGTAACTGCGCTCTGGGATCCCCCTGAAGGAGCCCCCATACATGCGGTTTATCAAGTACAGCAAGCACCGTAAGCAGTCTTAATATACAGTTTCACAGTTTACTAAACATTATTTTGTTTTTTCTTTTTGACCACCTTTTTTGCTTGAAGTAAGTTTACAGTACTCCAAAAACTAATGTATTTGTTCTTTTCTCTTTTAGGTATTTTGGTCATAATTCTTCTAAGTGGGACATTGTGCCAGAGTGTAACATGACTACAGAAACTAGATGTGAACTTGGGAACTTATTATTTAAACCCGAAATGAAAATAAAGGTTGAATTGCAAGGAAATGGCAACTTTTCCTGGTCTGCGGTTAGAAGAATACGTTTATATCTGAGTAAGTATTTCCAGGCCTTTTTCGTTGTGTTACTATAGGAAAACAACGGTTTACCCCCAAAATTAAATACACTAACTGAATAAAACAGCACTAAATTAAGCTAATACTCAATCTTTTAAGTATAAAGAACATCAGGTTTTACTGTTTACAAAAATAAGGTTTGTTTATTGGCATCAATGGTTACATAAAAAACCTTTAACATCCATGTTCTTTCCATGTTTTAGGTAAATTATTGGCTCCAGAATTTGACCTGTCTTCCACTGCTAATATGGTAAAGGTTAAGATTCACAGAAAGCCATTTCTCCAAGAACTTTTTAATAATGGACCAAGTTACTCTGCCATTCTGTATCCCAAAGGACAGGAGAGTCAGGTTAGTAGTTTAGTAGTTAGTCTACCCCACCTTTACAATAAATGAACTTGCTTGTTATATTGCATGGTGTTGGAATCTCTAAACCTGTATTGTCTCGGATGCAGGCTATAACAGTAAGCGATGATGATGACGAAGATGGTGAGGTGGAGTTCACTTCATTACCATTATGGCAGGAGTATTGTGTCCATGTAAAAGTGGAGATGATATCTAGTGATGTGAGCAACACCTCATTACCACGGTGCATATATCCATCAGCAGGTACGCATTTGAATAAATAAAAGTCTTCTATTTTTACACAAATATTCTAAAATGTATATTTCACTGTTGTATTGATTTATTTAGTAACTAGTATGTTGCACAAAATAAACCCATTCAGGGTGATACTGATACAAGACCTTATTCTTTGCGTTTTGGTTGTTATTAATTCTTTGGGAATATTTCAACCACTGAGGCTTAATGTTGATTCCTCTTGTTTGTCAGATATGTCTATGGTGATCTACATGGCAGTTATTGGTGTTGTTGGAGTTATGACCTTCTTCATCTTTGTAGTCTGTTTCTTCTTAAGGCGTCCCGGTAAAATGCCGGCTGTTCTGGTGAGTCAACTTGGTGATATTTAAATAATAAATGTAGTTTCATCAAAACCAAAAGTGTTAGAGCAAGCCAGTTTCAGGCTCTTAAAAGGGGAATGAAATCTAAAGAAGAGAGGCTCAGTATAGTGTCAGTTCTCCTTTCGAGGAACAGTAGCAGAAATGGAAGTGCTGGGGATTTACGTATGATTTACGTACATGATCTCATTGATGTTTGGTTTGGTCCATGATAACACAATACCATTCAGAATGAAACTATTTTGGCAATTTCTGATTGTCATATCAACTCAAATACAACACTTGTGTATGTGTGTACACTTTTGTACAAAAGTTAGGGGTCGATAATATTTTTGAAATAATTTTCTTGTGCTCACCCAGGCTGAAAAAAAACCCATTGAAAAATAAAATGTAATAATTGTGAAATATTTGTACAATTTAAAATAAATGTTTTCTATTTGTATTTCAAAATGTAAGTTATTCTTGTGATGCAAAGCTGAATTTTCAGCAGCCATTTCTCCAGTCTTTAGCGTCACATGATCCTTCAAAAATCTACGGAAGAGGATTAGGGCCAAGCAATAATAAAAAAATAAAACCATCTTGAGATTAAAGTCATTATAATGCCAGATTAAACTCGTTAAATTTCGAGAAAAAAGGTCGTAATACAATTTTGAGAATAAACTCATTAAATATCGAGAATAAAGTCGTTGTGTTTCGAGAAAAAACTCCTTAAATTTCGAGAAAAAAAGTCGAAATACAATCTTGAGAATAAACTCATTACATTTCGAGAATAAAGTCGTTGTGTTTCGAGAAACTGTCTCCATGGATACTTTGTAAAAACCTTTGCATTGCTGCCACACTACCATTTTCTGTCCCCATGTCCGCGTGGAGCTCTCGGGACACCCTCCTATGCTAGTAACTGTTTTTATGAAGTAGCTAACTGGCTATTACTTTAGGATCGTTATTGGTTGTGTACGCCTCCATCCACAGAATGTAACGACTGTAACCATCTATACAGCCATAAATGGCAATGCCGTACATACGGTGTTGGTTTTAATTTATAATAGCTGTCCATATGCCAAAGTGCATTTGGGCCAGCGCTGTTCGTTGTTCATGCGGCAGTTGTTCAAGTGACGGCTCAAACGTCTTTTATCAGTAAAGTTCTGCACGGGCAAATTCAGTGACACTTTTAATACATTATAATACAATACAATACAATACATTACTGCTAAAGTGTATAGTATTTCTTTGTTACTGAAATAAAGTCTAAAATATAGCTTGACTAAGTGATCCAAATCTGCCATGTCCTCTATCAGTAGGCTATGCAATGAACACTGATCGAATGCGTTATTCTCTACATTTAGACTTTTTTTCTCGAAACACAACGACTTTATTCTCGAAATTTAATGAGTTTATTCTCACGATTGTATTTCGACTTTTTTCTCTCTAAATTTAACGAGTTTTTTCTCGAAACACAACGACTGAGTTTATTCTCAATGTTGTATTTCGACTTTTTTCTCGAAATTGAACGAGTTTTTCTCTCGAAACACAACGACTTTATTCTCGAAATTTAATGAGTTTATTCTCAAGATTGTATTTCGACTTTTTTCTCAAATTTAACGAGTTTATTCTCACGATTGTATTTCGACTTTTTTCTCGAAATTTAACGAGTTTTTTTCTCGAAACACAACGACTTTATTCTCGCTATTTAATGAGTTTATTCTCAAAATTGTATTTCGATTTTTTTCTCGAAACACAACGACTTTATTCTCGATATTTAATGAGTTTATTCTCAAGATTGTATTTCGACTTTTTTTCTCGAAATTTAACGACTTTTTTCTCGAAACACAATGACTTTATCCTCGATATTTAATGAGTTTATTCTCAATGTTGTATTTCGACTTTTTTCTCGAAATTTAACGAGTTTTTTTCTCGAAACACAACGACTTTATTCTCGCTATTTAATCAGTTTATTCTCAAAATTGTATTTCGAATTTTTTCTCGAAACACAACGACTTTATTCTCGATATTTAATGAGTTTATTCTCAAGATTGTATTTCGACTTTTTTCTCGAAATTTAACGAGTTTAATTTCGCATTATAATGACTTAAATCTCGAGATGGTTTTATTTTTTTATTATTGCTTGGCCCTAATCCTCTTCCGTAAAAATCATTCTAATATGCTGATACAGCATTTATTTTAAATAGACATCTTTTGTAACATTTATAAATGTCTTTACTTTCACATTTGACTTTAATGTATCCCTGCTGATTAATAATATTTCTTTTTTTTAAATATTATTTTTTGTTGTTTTGTGAGATTTACTATTAAGCGTTAACCATTATTTGATCATATATTATTGTCCATCAGAAATCCGCTGTGAATGGATGGCACCCTATGCATGTAGGATTGATCCAAGTGGAAACCGTCACTGACAAGGGATGGGTGGTGAACACAATGGCGGAAAAGAGTAAAGCGTTTTATGAGGACGAGGAGCTTTCTGAGGATGACAAAGAGAGAAGAGAGAGTACGGACAGTGGCGTAAGTGTGGGCCAGCAGAACTCGCTTAAGAACAGAGGCACAGACGGACATACGGGAGATGAGGACAGCGGCTGTGGAAGTCTGACAGGAACCGATGACAGCGGTCTCAGCGGTGGAAGAAGAAGAAGCCTGGAAGAGCTCCCTTTCCTGGACGGTGGAGTAAATAGCAGCAACAGTAAAAGAAAAGATGACAGTGGCTTGGGAATGGTAAACAAGGATGATTCCGACAATCTCCAAGGGGCGGATGGTGACCTGTCTGAGATAGTAGTTGGTGGGGATGGATATCGTAGTCAGAGCCCTTCTGCTGATGCTGAAAGTAAGGCGACCGTTCCATATGACGTAGACACTAAAATGGCCAGCCCTAGCAGTGGTTATCGCTCTGGTCACGTGACCTGCTCGTGTTCTGACTTTGAGACTTGCATTTGGTGCAAAACCAGGAAGCTCCTAACAGACAGTGGTTCATTGTCTCATGAGAAACTCAGTACTACCGATAACGACAATGACAGACCAAGCTATTTGAAAAAATCACCTGTACAGACTGTGAATGCCCTAGGACTGGGAGATTTGTCCTCCCAGTCAGATGAGAACTCAAGTGAGTTGTCACTATTCATTACTTGTCCACTACTTCTACAAGAGCCCTGCCAACTTGACACTTTGCCTCTTACATTAGGAGACATAGAACTGACATTCACGTGAGATATAAGACTTTTTCATGAATGCGTAAGCAAATATGGGCCGAACAAAGCGTATCTGCTTCTCCTCCTGCCGTTTGCTCCATTTTTTTGAGCAGAGAGATGCTAAATATGGCTGTGTTGCTAGTACTAAGCCCTCCGAATAGGAGCTGTCCCTCAGAAGTGTGACTTCCTGCAAGCACTGTCTCATCATTTTGCCTAAATGTTGACCAGAGAGAAGACAAATTGAGTGATCAAGACTGAACTAGCATCAGAATATGATGACGATGAGCTGTTACCAGTTCTTGACGTCCAATGTCGCACATCCCACCCACCACTGATGTAGTTCATTTATTGTTACATACATGTGTTCATCTATTGCAGTTTTGCACATGAATTGTACGTATTTACATTTTATGTATCTACTGACATTTTTGATATGCTGAATTTTGAATTTTTCCAGACAACATTTCATATTGGGACCAATGTTTGCACGATATGGGATTGAGTTATGGGCCCTACATGGGTTTGGTCTTTGGGTCCATGTCGGCCCTATCTGAATTAGCTTATATTAGTCTAACCATGAAATGTTGGCTGGGGTTTTGAATGTGATGGAATGATGGTAAAGGTGAAGTTGTTGATGATAATACTAATAATAAATATCTAGATTTTTACATTTTATGAAAATAAGTGGTGCTTTCCCATTCCCAAATTTTCCATCCACACCCTCCTTTCATTGCTGTGTTTGAGCATGTTGTTTAATGGCCCAAGTTAAAAGAGTCTTCGCCACCACCTGTAGTGAGTTTTTTACTTTAAAAAATATCTTTCATTTTCGTTCACTTTAGTGTCGTTTTAGTCAGTCAAACAGGATACAAAGAATTTAAAATGATTTTTTTCCAAAAGTCTTTAGAAGATCCAAATGTGAAACCGTTGAATCTGCATTTTACCAACAAGAACATATGCAAATTATGAGGCAAAAATATCCTTTGTGAAATTCCAATTTAATGAGATATATGTAAATACTAATGACACAGGAAAACCCAGCACTTCCTCTAGTGGAAACCCACGAAAACCTGTGACTGTTTGCACATGATTTCCTCTAACAGCACATCAGCATATATGACAACCACAGTCACTTCTAAAAAGAAAAACCCAATTAAATTTTGAATAAAGATAAGCTAACCCAAACCCTTATCCCAGTAAAGCCCTGCATATAAACACATCTTCCGTAGCAAAAACTCACAGATCTTGTGCAAACCCATTACTCAGTATTTCCATACCGTCACTGCGCTGTGACGAAACACAGCAACTGAATGAGAGAGCGAAGCTCTGCCGCAATCAATGACCTCCATCTTCAGATAGGGAAGGAAACAAAAAGTATTTTACCCACATCAACATCTCAGTCTCAGATTCAACATGCTGTCACCCAAAGCTTAAGGCTCCATTCACAATAAAAGAGAACATTAAAAACTCTCGTGGAGATTCCACAATATGGAAAAAAAAGAAAATCTTTATGGAGAAGTGCATCTTTAGAAATAGTTCTTGTCACTGTAATAATTATCGGATCATTTATAGATAAAGGAAAGTGATGATTCTGATATGGACTCAAATACAACATGAGGATTGATTTGAGTATTTTCTTTCTCTGAAAGGTCTTGTGTTAACAGTCATTTGTAGAACAGAAGGTACCTTTGCTTCTCATCTCAATAGCAAATCGGTCACTCAAAGAAACCACACAACTTCATCTGATACAAAACACAACAACATTTATACCCTCCTAACGCTCCATCATTAAATCTCGCACGTTCAATTCTGAAAGTGTCAGGCGGATGCATAGTGAAAACGGTTCTCTTCCTGTATTACAGACTAGTGCACTGAAATCAGTAAATGGGCAGTAAATAATATTTAATTTTGTATAGAAAAGTAAAAAATGGGCATATCTGGAGAAAGCCATCCTTTAGCACTCCTGTTCATCTAACTGTTACCAGGCGTTTTCAAACATTTTTGCAGAAAATGGCCCCAAAATATGATGAATCCCTTTTCTAAAATATAAAGGTAGCTTTATATTATTAGAAAAAAATAATATTGTAATAAAGAAAACATTTTCTAAACATAAACTTTTTTTCCTCTAACCACTATTAGATGCATAACCCTGAGGCATTGTTAGTTCACTTTAAATTAATTTGTATAGAGCTTTTCATGTCACAGTTATGTTCAGTTTGTCTTTGCTACCATCGAGTTTAAGTTTGTTTTCATTCATTCTTCATTCACATTCCTTTGTTTGATTTTCACGCCACTCCTTTGTTTCCATGGCCACCGCCATTATGAGTTCGTTTGGTTCAGCTCTGTTCTATTAATCATCTTTGAATCACTATTAAAGTTCTGTCTTCACCCCTTCACTGCTCCCGTCTGTTTGCCTGTTCTGACAATTATTGATAGCCTATTAAACTCATATTGGAACCTTATTCTTCATCTTCGTCTGTTTACCTGCAACCACCCGTGACAGATGACCGGACCAAATATGGCATATGCTGCAAGATTTGCTGCTGCTCAGATGAGCCACGATTTCTTTAGTTACACGGAACAATTTTGTCCAGGGGTGCATAGCCAATCACAGACATATATGTTGAGCGTGTGAACACAATAGCCAATCAGAGGTGTTTAAGAATCCGCTCAACAGCGCTCAAAATGCTAGAGGGAAATGCTGGTATTGTCACATTGTAAAAATTTCGACAACACTATAATAAATACTTTGGTACACTTTTGACAACACTATAATAAATATCACTCCAAAGCAGTTTTAGAGAGAACAAACTACTTCTCGCTAAAAACAGGGGCTGTCAAAGTATTGAGTAATTCTATTTCAATCATCTGTTGTAGAGCAAGTGGACTTGATACTACCATTACATACACAGACACTCTGCTGTGAGCATGTACATGTATGCTGCTGTTGCATGAATAGACAAACATTAATCCTGTAGCTAGCAGATATGCATGTGGTACTGGGGGAGGTGGAGGGTTTCAGAAGAACTCTGATAGTGGGCTGCAGGAATAGCCAAAAAACGAATACTGAACCAGACTAGTTAATGTTGAGCAAGCAATCTCGTTGGCTGCAGAATCAGCAGCAACCAATCAACTTGTTCCATGAAGTGGAGATGTGATTGCTTGCAGATTGCATGAAAGGACCTACCAGCCTGCGAAATGTATAGTTTCATGACAGAACTATATATATTTGTCCATTAACAGTAATTAAAAATGGAAAATACAATAAAACAATGAGGAAAAAGCATAAATTCAATCTGTTCATCATAATTCAATTCAGTTCAATTCAAATTTATTTGTATAGCCCCTTACGAAACAAAAATATATTGCAATATACTAGAATTTATATTGCAATACATTAGAAAATATATTTCAATATATCAGAAACTGCCTCATATATTTGAAAATATATAACAATATATGGATGGACATCCTATTGCTATATATTGATTCATATATTAAAATACATTGATATAGAAACAAAACTGTATTACATTATTGCTTTGTACAACTGGCAAACAGGACTACAGATGAAAATTAGCCCTTGGCTAACTCTGGCATGTTACAGGTGTACTGTTGTTAATATGCATTGTCCTGGTAAATAAAAAAAAAAAAAAAAAAAAAAAAAAAAAAAATGTTTATTGAAACAAAGTATTTTTTTTATGAGTTAAGTAAGCTCATGCATAGGTTTACAGAAAGGTTGATTAACAATAGTCCAAATCAAATTTTTGCATGACATTCATTATATTTTACATTATATAGCCATATGGATGGACCATATATGGCTATGTGTAAATAACCATAAGTATATTTTGTTACAGAGAAGGTTTTTGTCTTTTATTTTGAAAATTTTGTACTGAGATGGTTGACTTCCGGTCTTCAACTGCGCGCTTTTGTTTTCTTTTTGGAAGCGCGCGCGCCCTGGCTAGCGCAGTGTATAGCATAGCTTGCCATCTCAAATACGGCAATAGCTTCGACGCGGAGCTGTGTTTAAACGTTAAATTTATACTTGCAGCCCCTCTGAAGAGGCCAAAGGTATGCAATTAGTTGAGACATGAGCATTTTGTCTGTTAATATGTTCATTCTTGCACAAATGTAAGACAGCATGTGAATGTGAACAATGTTAGCTGATCAGTTACATGTTTTGTATACATTTCAGCTCTTACGTTGGTAATATGGTGAATGGACTAAGGATTATAAAGGATTAAACATCATAAAACCACCAGTAAAAGTCTCATCCTTGTTCGGGGGGCATGCTACACTATGTATTGATTCATATATTGTAAAATGTAGATGAGAGTATAAATTAAATTATCATTAACAGCAACAATTACAACATTTTTTAGTCCACTTTTTATTCCCCCACATGGTAAATTATTGTATAAAATATATAATATGATAATTATATATAATATATTATGTAATATAAATCAATATATTTTTCAACATATTTAAGACATGTTTGCATATATATCTGATTATATTTTCTGGTACATTGAGGTATATTAGCTCATATAATTTTACATATATATTTTCACATATATACAATGCCTCTTCCAATATATAATTTCATATAATATGGGACATATTTCAATATACCTAACAATATATTAAATCGTATAATAATATGTATTTATTCAATATATGAAAACGGCAATAATTGCAGTATTGTCCCATATATTGCAATATATTATTGCATATATATAATATATTATTATATAATATATCATATGATATATTACAATGTAAATTTCACAATATATGGAGACACATGAAATATATTGTCACATAATATATTGAGAAATATATTTTTGTTGCGTAAGGGGCGCTTTTCACAAAACATAATATAGTTTCAAAGCAGCTTAATTTAGGGCATAACATATCGCCGGCGTGCGTTGAGTCGTCTCTTCACAGGCGTCGAGTCGTCTCATCGCAGGTGTTGGGGCATCTGAAGTCTCCGTGAGAGGCTGGATACAAACTGGAGCTGACGAACGCTATTTACCTCGGGACTAGCGTCCCGAGATAACAGCAGAAAAGCAGATGGGAAATAATTAGCGTAGCTGCTGTTCATAA